TCTTTTCCAAGTCAACCTGCACCAGTCAGAGTTCTCCAAAGAAACCATATCATTTATTATGAGACATTGGCATATGTGTTACAGAGGCTAAGAAGTCCCAAGTTCTGCAGTCAGAAACTTGAAGGCCCAGGAGAGCCAACGGTATAGTTCTAGTTTAAGTCTGAGGGCCTGAGAATCAGGAGAGCTTGTGGAATAAGTTCTGTCTGAAAGCCAATAGGCTGGAAACCCAGGAAGATATCACCTTTCAATTCAAGTCTGAAGGCAGGAGAAGCCCAATGTCTCAGTTCAAGGGAGTCAGGCAGGAGGCGTTCCCTCTTACTCTCAGAAAGGTTAGCCTTTACCGCTATTTAAGTCTTCAACTGATCAGATGCAGCCCACCCATAGAGGACAGCAATCATCTTTACAAACTCTACCCATTCAGTTGTTACTCTCATACAAAAATATTCTCACAGAGATACCCAGAAAAATGTGTGACCAAATATTTGGGCATCCTGTGGCCCACTAAAGCTGACAAACCAAATCAACCATCACAATTTCTTTACATAGTAGCGTTTTCTTTTTTGAATAGAATTAAGTCCCACTACCAGGATTACCGAACAGAAAGGAATGTGTAGGATTAATGTGAATGGTCTTAACAGTTTGCTTTCCACAAAGACTATAAAAATTTACATTTTGCCAGCACTGTATTAGAGGCCTCATTCTCCTCTGGCAATGTATGTTATTGCTTTTTAAAATGTGGCCAGGTTATGTCTGTTACTTAAAATTAGATTCCCTGAATACCAGTGACTTTTAATATCTTCTCGTAAAGTTTTGGCCATTTGAAGTTGCTCTTTTGCCAATAGTTTTTGCATATCGTTTCAGCATTTTCTACTGGGGAGTTTGTCCCTCCACCACTTGCAAGAACTGTTTGCATATTATTAGATGTATGACTCTTAATTCTGTTTTTTAATTGAAATTTTTTCTATGACTATCATGTCACAGAAAGTGACCCACAGTGATCCAATTTTGCTTTCCTCCAGATGGGGAACCAGGAATCCTATGACAGTGTTATTAAATTCAGCCTTTTCCTGTTTTTCCTTGTTTGTTTGTACGTGTAGGATCCTTTGATAGTCATTTACATTTTATTGTTACTTGTTTCCATTTTATTGAGATGTAATCGATACATGACACTGCCTAAGTTTAAGGCAAGCTGCTTAATGATTTGACATCCATGTCAGTAAGTTTAGCAATTTGATCATCTCATATAGATATAAAAAAATTTCTTGTTGTGATAAGAACTCTTAGGACTTACTCTCTTAACAATTTTCATAGATACCATACAGCAGCATTAAGTGTAGTCAATAAAACAGGTACAAAGTAAAAAAAAAAAAAAAAAAAAAAAAAGTAAAACTTTTTGCTGTTGAAATAAAATGCACCCTCTGGAATGGACCGACTTCTCACATAAATCAAGCTTATTTCTGGATGATCTATTCTGTTCCACTAATCTTTTTATCTACATTATTCCAGTAATATATTGATATAACCTCATTTTCTTAAAAGTGGGTGGTGATGTCTGCTGAGGGAAAACTCTCCTTCATATCTCTCTCACATATTTTTCTTGGCTAGTCTAAAAAGTGTCCTTTTTTCATATAAACTGTAAGATTATTTTGCCTAATTCCCAAGACAAAAACTCCCTAATGGGATACTGATAGGAACTCCTAAAATGTTTAAAGTACCCTTTTTCTATTACATACTTTCCTCTGAAAAAAGGAAGGCTTCCTGAATGTGCAGAGAATATGTGTTCCTCAATAAGGGTTTGGAGTTTTCCTCACATAGGCTCTGAGTCTTTCTTAACATGATTATTTGTAAATATGTCATAGTATTTAAAGCTATTAAAAATTCATTTTTCTATCTCCATTCTGACCGCTTATCTGCAGAAGAAAACTAAGTTTGAGTATCTAAGAACATATCTTATTCTAGCTGCCTTACACATTCTTATTAACCTAACTCGTTTTTTAATTTTTTAAATTTATTTATTTTTTAATATTATTTTTGAGAAGGGGGCTGGGGAGAGAGGGAGAGCACAAGCAGGGAAGAGGCAGAGAGAGGGAGACACAAAATCCGAAGTAGACTCCAGGCTCTGGGCTGTCAGGCCTGAACCCACGAACCGTGACATCATGACATGAGCCATAACACACTGAGACATCCAGGTGCCCCACTGACTCGTTTTTTTAATACCTAAAAGTAGATCTTTGGGACTGTGAAGGGCTTTAAAAAACCACGTCACCACTAAAATGAAATTGCTTTAGTATCAATTATTTCCCTTCTTAAGTTTATCTCATTCACTAGAAACGGCAACACAATATTGCAGAATGATGGTTGAAATATTCCATACTAGCTCCTGATTGTAAAAGAAGTAGGTTAAGTGTTTTTCCACTTAGGATAATATTTGCTGGGGTGTTTTGGTGAGTGGTCTTTATCGTATTTAGGTTGTTTACTTTTATTTCGATATTACTTGGCTTTCTTTCTTAAGAATTTTATAAGATGCATTTTCAAAATCGATTCCTACAGTCCTACGATTTTTCTCTTTGCACATTCTGTTGGAATGGGTTCTAGTGGCAGAGATATCCTATACCCATTTATTCCTGAAAAATCTTACTAGGTCACAGTATAATGTGACTTTAAAACTTCTCTAGGTTCTACTTGCTGTTTATTTTATATTTTGCATCATACTTACAAGTTAGAATGGTTGGTACTTTTAAGTTTCCATCTATAACTTTTTATTAGGGTTCAGGATTAGAATTAGGTTGCCTTTATTAAGCAAATTCAACTTTTTTATCTTTTTTTCCAAAAGAATTTAAACAACATTGCAACCGCCTTTCTTTGGGTGTTCGGTAAATCAGAGGCCTAAGCCCATCTAGTCTTGGGGCCCATTTTCATGGGGGATTTTCCATGAGTTGTGGAGTCTTCCCTGTAGTCAGAATGCTCCTCACCTGAGCTGCTGCCGCCCTGGTTGGAGACTTCTCTATCTCTCAGGATCTAGAGACAGAAAGGGCAAGGTTCTTTCCTTGGGTTTTCCTTTCCACTTCATCTTCTGGAAGGATCTGTGTGCTGTTTGCTTTGGGTCCTTTTCAAATGTTTTGCTGAGATAGTGAAGGCTAGTGAAATACGCAAGTATTAGCTCTCTTCGGATCACTTTTTATTCTTGCCTTAACAGGTGAATGAGACCCCGGCTGGGAACAGTATTCCTGGGTCATGCATTTTCTTCAGACTTTGCTCCCATATCCTCTACCTTCTGTGTGGAAACCTGATGCCAATCTTGTTCTTATTCTCTCCCAAGTGACATTCTATTCCCGTCTGAAACTTACAAGATTTTCTCTTTATTCTTAGAGCTCAGGAATTTTTACCAGAATACCTTGGGTCTCACTTTCCTCATTAATCTGACCTGGAACTTCGCTCGTCCCTTCAACACATAGAGTCAGGTCTTTCCAGAAAACTCTTTTTTATTGTATGTCTAATTATTGACTCTTCTCCAGCTGTTCCTTCCATCCTTCTGCAAACCCTTTTACTGGCAGGTTAAACCTTCTGCTTCTTTCCTCCCAATTGGCTTTCTTTCTTTACCTTTTGATTTTTGTGTTGACATTTTGCTGCTTGTGCTTCGGTTTTCCAAGTCATCAACGTGGGTCTCGATGGTGACCATGAACTCTTTGAGCTGCAGCTGCCGGAGTGGCGAACGAGGATGTGTTTCACTAGAAATTCTTTGGGTACTGCACTGAGATCTCTAGGTTCTCTTATTACATCCCCGCCTACCCCCTCCAGCACCTTTGTTCACTGAGGCTGTGTTCCGCTCCTTGTGATGCCCCTTCTCCTCTCCAGCTGCTGGGATCTCTCATCTGGGTCAATGGGGTCGGGTCGGGTGGACAGGAAGGGGTCCTTCCTCCGAGGCCAACTGTACAAGAGCAGGTCCTGTTGAGGCTACCGGAGACAAGCACCCAGCACCCTGTCAACCTCAGAGGACAGAGACCCTAGGCCGCCTCTCTGGCTCCTTCTCAGTTTTTGAGATGCCAGGTGGGTGGCGGTGGGGATGACAGGTATCCACCAGGCTGATGTCACCCTTCTTCCTTAAGGTACTAACACCTTTCGGGGCCAAGCTATTTGCAAGATCGACGACTCTCCAGGCTCTGCAGAATTCTCCTGGTTGTTCCAAAACTCTTGGCAAAACCTGCGCCTAGTTCTGAGGTAGAATTCCTGTCAGGGTTCTCTTCCACATGCCTCCAGCCCCACTGGAGGAACCCAGCGCTCCTTCACTCCACTTAGTCCCTGAGATGCAGATAAATGGGAATTGGGAGTTGCACAAAATTAACCAACTCACAGGTTAATAAAACACAAAATCCTCAGGAAAAAAAAAAAAAAGTACTTCAGACGTCTCTCCGGGTCGCCTCAGCCACAGCCTGGTTCCTACAGGAAAATCACAGAGCACCCGCAACACGGGCCTGCTGGGGGAAACGCGGAGCGACCCCACCTCAGAAACACTGCAGGCGCTATCTTCCTTCATCTCGGCGAGGCGAGGCGGCGCTGACCCTGTGCAGGCCCGCAGCGCCCGCGTCACCTCCCGGCTCCCACTGCGCTCAGGACACTCGGGAAACCGGGCCCACGGGGGGATTCCAAGGAGAGGAACGCTTCCTCCCCCTCCCTCCCCGCCAGCTCCCGTTTAACCGCGCCACAAAGCCAAGAACGCGAAATATTACAAAGCAATAATTCCTGGGTGAGCACCAAGTTAGGAAACGAAGAAGAAGACGTGGGCTCACGTCCCGATAACGCGGAGTGACGGAGAAGCCTGGGGAGTTATGGCAAATCCGCGTCTCTGAGGCGCCTCAGGGCCCTTCAGCTTCTCCGCTCCCTCTTCACCAACGACTGACGCGTGTTTGCGCGGCCGGAAGCTCTCCCGGAAGCCCAGCCTGGCTCCCGGCTCCCCGAGGGCGTGGGTTCAAGCGTCCACGGGGTCACGGAGCGTCGTTGGCGGCGAGCGGGCTGCGAAACGGCCAACGCCCGGCGGTGTCCCTCGGGGCCGGGAGCTGGGCTGCGGGAGAAGAGACCTCTCCACGCCGGAGCGTCCTCGCCCGAAGGCGGGGGCCTAAACGCCTGCCTCGCAGGGCTGCGTGCAGCGTAAAGCCCGGCCGCGTCAGGAGTCTGCAGGGGTGAGGTGACAGCAAGAGCCCTGCAGAGGTGAGGTGACGGAGCGGTCACCACCGCCGCATCCCAGAGGCTATGACGGCCTCACTTTCCAGGTCCATGCTCTGCTCATCCAAGCCTGGCAACGTTCAGAAAACACATTTCTTCCCACTGCCATCTATTTTTATAGTCCCCATTAGCAAAAAAGAGGCATCAGAGTGATTAAGCCGGTGTTACTATTAACAGTCTCTCATTGATTTATGACAGCGCGAACAGAGGCAGCACCTTATGGGGGTGGTTAACTGGATACATTAAAACGTAAGTAATAAATCAATCCTGACTCTTAAAAAAAAAAAAAAGACAAGAATAAGAGATCTTAAGTTAGTTGCAGTATTTAGGGAAAGCACAGCATTTTGGTTTGTTTTTCCTAACAAGGGCCTTCTTTCTGGTTCTTTTAGCGTAGACAAGATTTTTCCTCACAGGAGCGCTCGGCAGCTGCGGTGTGCGTTGACTTTTCGCCCTCCCACTTATCACAGAGGAAAAGAGTCTTATCTCCAAAAGACAAAAGGCAGCTGAGCAACTGTGGAACCACCACTAACCCCATAAAATGACAACGAGGGTGCTGGTTCAGAGACAAGTTTCTCAAGAGCCAGAGACCCTTGGGTTCTAACCAAACACCTTCCTCCACAGGGTCACCTGAACTAGCTCCTCAAGTAGTCTCTTCAGCCTCTTCTAGCTTTAGATTCCTTAGCTTTAGAACGTGAGGAGATTCTAGAAGTCGTCAATGACAACCATGCTGACTTAAGTAAAATCATTCTTAAATATTATTGTGCCTGGCAATAGCAAATCATCGGTAATTTAACATCAGTTTTTGCTAATAAAACACCATTTGCTTCTATACTAAAATGCCTACCTTGGGGCGCCTGGGTGGCTCAGTAGGGTAAGCCTCCGATTCTTGATTTCTGCTCAGGTCATTATCTCACCATTCATGGGATCGAACCCTGTGTTGGAGCCTGTCAGCATGGAGCCTTTTTGGGATTCTCTCTCTCCCCCTCTCTCTGCCCCCCCCCCCCCGTGCACGCTCTCTCTCTCTCTCTCAAAATAAATAAATATACTTTAAAAATAAATAAAATTACATTAAATGCCTACCTTTTCTTCAAAGAATTTTAAAAAATGAAATGCTGAAGTAACCAAAGCTGGGGTTGGGACTCAGATGACTGATTCCCACATCTGGTTGCTGATCAGTTTTTCAATGAGCCTAAAATGTAGATGCATCAGCCCCAGGGAATCAGAACCTCCTGGTGAAGGGGGTCCTGGCCAGAAGCTTTATCTATCACAGGTAATCTTGATGAGCTGTTGTGCATGGGAACTAACAGCTTAGATAATTGGGACCTAAGAAAAACTGGTCCCATTATATCAAAAGCAAGAGCTAAAATAAATTCATCTTCATTTCATTTCAAATTGTGTCTCTGAGTTTCCTTTAAAAAGAAACTATTGTAGAAGGGCACCTGGGTGGCTCAGTTGGTGAAGCATCCGATTTCAGCTCAGGTCATGATCTCACAGTTCATGAGTTCAAGCCCCGCATCAGGCTCTGTGCTGACAGCTCAGAGCCTGGAGCCTGCTTCAGATTCTGTGTCTCCCTCTCTCTCTACCCCCTTCCCTGCTTATGCTCTGTCTCTCTGTCAAAAATAAGTAAACATTAAAAAAATTAAAAAAGAAACTATTGTAGAGAATCCCTGGTTTATGTGTATAAATGTGAGAAAATATAGATATGTACGGGAGCAATCTTCACAGGAGGAAAACACCCATGGAAGCCAACAAAGCTATGCATTGCCATAAAGGAGCTTCATTAAACACATTGTGGGATGGAAAAATGAACCAAATCATCATTTCCTTTTTCTGTTGCACTTGGTTAAAATGCAGTAAAGAGTCCCAGGAGCTATTGCAAACTGTCCTCTGATGACATGGCCCAGCAAAGCCTTCATTAACTTGTGTAACATCTTAAGAACAGGTGGTGTAGGGGCGCCTGGGTGGCTCAGTCTGTTACCTGGCCGACTTCAGCTCAGCTCGTCATCTCACAGTCCATGAGTTCGAGCCCCGTGTCAGGCTCTGTGCTAACAGCTCAGAGCCTGGAACCTTCTTCAGATTCTGTGTCTCCCTCTCTTTGTACCTCCCCCACTCATTCTCTCTCTCTCAAAATAAACATAAAAAAGAAGAATGGGTGGTATGTATGGGAGGTGTGTATGGACCCAAGCTTCTTTCATAATGTTCCCTTAAAGCTGGTCCTTCCCAGCACATACTGCCCACCCAGCAGCCCACCGCAAAAACCTGGGAACTCTGCTTACTCCCCTTGTCTCCTCACCTGCCTCAGTCAAGCAGTGATTAGAGTGTACTGTCTATTCTACCTTCTAGCCATCTTGCCTATGGTCCCCTCTACATGACCGCTGACCTCCGGCATAAGAGAGCCTTACATTTTCCCATCCCAGCTATTCCGCTGCCGTTGTCAGACAGGGCTCCACTCAGGGCCAGGGCCCTGACAGGGAAAGACACAAAAGTTCATGAACACTGAGGCTGGACAAGGCACAGATGGGACAGATGTGTACAGAGGGCTAGGGGCCTGATTTGAGACCCCACAGAGAAGTCTAACATAGAGCATACCAGTCTTCCTGTACCTTTTTACTGGGCAAATCATGAAAAGGGGCATCCTTAGGGGCAAGGTTTCTAACTAGTGGCCCCCAAATTCTTTCTCTCATAAGAGAAAAAATGTGCTGTAGGCTAGTAGATTACAGTAGACAAGACCTGAGTAAGAGCAGGTATGGGTTTGAACCCCATTCCTGCTGTGTCTTCTAGTTTTCATTAATTTTAACGTTTTTGGTTTTTTTGAGAGAGAGAGAGCATGTGTGTGCAAGCAGGGGAGGTGTACAGAGAGAGGTAGAGAGGATCCCAGGCAGGCTCCACGCTGAAAGTAGGGTGCCTGATGTGGGGCTGGAACTCACGAACTGCAAGATCATGACCTGAGCCAAAGTCGGCTGCTTCACCAACTGAGCCACCCAGGTGCCCCACTCTATGTCATCTTAAATAAGTTATTTAATCTCACTGGGGGTGCCCGGCTGACTCAGTCGGTAAAACGTATGACTTTGATCTCAGGGTTGTGAGTTCAGGCCTCATGTTGGGTGTAGAGGTTACTTTAAAAAAATAAGTTATTTAATCTCTCTGAACCCCAGTTTCTATATTTGAAAGTGGAAAGGCTAATGCTCATTTTAAAGGCTACTCTGAGAATTGGAGATATCTGAAAGTACTTTACTCATAGTAAACTCTCTGCGAATTCTAGCTAGTACTCTGATCAGTCACTGGGTGTATATGCATACATGTCTGTGTATTAGAAAGAAGCTGAAAAGGTATGTACAAAAGAGAACCATTCTTTAGGTTTATGTCATCAGTTTTGATTTTTGATGTTTTATCAATTTTACCCCAGCTTAAAAATCTCAGATTCTGCACGTATTCCTTTAGACATGTGTCGAGCGTGGCTGAATCCAATGCCATTTCGATTGTTGTATGGTATGGGAAGGGAGTGGAAAATAGAAGAGATGGGTGGGGAATACATTTTAAAAGTGAAAGCTGTTTGAAGCCTTATTACAACCAGAGAACCATCAATGACTTTGGCCAAAGGAAAAAGAGTACGCATTCAAACACAAGATGCCATCATGTTCACCTACACAGTCTACCTAGAATAGGACAGCCAGCCCGCAGCATGTGAGTGAAGTACCATCTTAACTAAGCTGTATTCCAATAAATATAGCTAGCTGCTATACAACACCCCAAAATCCCAGTGGCAGAATACAATGATCGTTTGTTTCTTCCTTACACCCTAATTTCATGAGACAGGGACCATGTGGTCATGTAGGGACCCAGACTCCTTTCATCTGGTGACTCTGCACTCATTTAAATCCTCAGAATCTTCTCTAGTCCACTGTGAACAGGGAGAGAGAGCAAGGATCAAAAGTGGTAGGGGTTTATGGGCCACATCACTTCCACTCACATTCCATTGGCTTGAACTCAGCAACCAACCTACCCACCTATCTAATAGCAATGAAGGTTGGGAAATATAGTCCATCCAAGGTTCAGAAAGAAGAGAGAACACACACAAACAAACTGAACAACATAAAAGAAATGGAAAAATTCTTAGAAGCAACTTACCGAGACTGACTCAGGAAGAAATAGAAAAGTCTGAAAAGACCAATTAGTAAGGGTATTGAGTCAGTAATCAAAAATCTCCCAGTGAAGAAATCCCAGGACCAGATAGCTTCACTGGTAAATTTTACTAAGCATTCTAAGAACAATTAATATCAATACTTCTCAAACTCTTGTAAAATATCAAAGAGGGAACACTCCCAAACTCATTTTACAAGGTCAGCATTATCCTGATACCAAAGCCAGAAAAGATAACTACAGGACAATGTCCCTGATGAAGATAGATACAAAAATTCTCAATAAAATACTAGCAAACTGAATTCAGCAGAGCATTAAAAGGATCATTCATTATGATCAACTGAGATTTATCCCTGGGATGCAAGGATGGTTTGACATACACAAATTAATCGATGTGATATATCACATTAATAGAATGAAAAAATCATATGATCATCTCAATAGACACAGAAAAAAGTATTTGGCAAAACTGATCATCCATTCATGATAGGAAAAAACTCTTACAAGAACATATCTCAACATAATAAAGGCTGTTTACAAGCCCACAGCTAATATAATACTCAATGGTGAAAAACTGAAAGCTATCTCTAAGATCAGGACTAAGACAAGGGTGCACACTTACTACTTCTATTCACATAGTACTTGAAGTCCTAGCTAGAGCAATCAGGCAAGAAAAAGAAATAAAAGGTATTAGAATTGGAAAAAAAGAAGTAAACTTGTCTCTATTTGCAGGTGACATCATTTTATATATAGAAAATGTGGAAGACTCAACCAAAAAAATTGTTGGATCTAATGAATGAATTCAATAAAAATTATAGGATGCAAAATTAACATACAAAAATCAGTAGTATTTCCATACATTAACAATACATTTTCTGACAAAGAAATTTTAAAAAATTGATCTTATTTACAACAGCATTGAAGACAATAAAATATCTGGGAATAAATTCAATCAAATCAATGAAAGAAATATCTCTACTCTGAAAGCTATAATTAATGAAAAAACTGAAGAAGACACAAATAAATGGAAAACTATTCCATGTTCATGGAGTGCTGTTGTCAAAATGTCATACTACCAAAAGCCACCCATAGATTAAATGCAATGCTTATCAAGATTCCAACAGTGTTTTTTAAGGAAGTAGCAAGGTACTCCTAAAATTTGTATGGAACCACAAAAAACCCTAAATGCCCAAAGAAATGTTGGGAAAGAAAAATAAAGCATGAGGCATCACAACCCCTGATTTCAAGCTACAGTAATCAAAACAATTTTGTACTGACATAAAAAACAAATAGACCAATGTGAAAGAATCAAGAGCCTAGAAGTAAACCCAAACATATATAGTTAACTAATATTTGGCAAAGGAACCAAGAATACTTAATGGGGAAAAGATAATATCTTCAGTAAATGGTACTAGGATCATTGAATATATGCATATGTAAATGAATGAAACTGAAGCCATATCTCACACCATCCACAAAAATTTACTTAAAATGGATTAAAGACTTAAATGTAACACCTGAGACCATGGAACTCCTAGAAGAAAACATAAGAATAAAGTTCTAGGGCATCTGGATGGCTCAGTTGCTTGAGCATCTGACTTCAGCTCAGATCATGATCTCAAGGCTCGTGGGTTTGAGCCCTGCATTGGGCTCTGCACTGACAACATGGGGCCTGCTTCGGATTCTCTGTCTCCCTCTTTCTCTGCCCCTCCCCTGCTCACATGATCTCTCTTTCTCAAAAATAAATAAACATTAAGAAATAAAATAAAATAAAATAAAGAAGAATAAGATTCCT